CGCTCTTCCCACTTTGTTTCCCCATGCTGTCCCCTCATACTGTCTCGGCCATCCTTCCACAATGTCCCCACACCACCCCCCACTATGTCCCCCCGGCAGCGTGGCTGCCATCCTTGACCCCACAAGCGTTCCCATTCTGAGCGCCAGCAAATGCTGGAATCGGCCCAAACACCAGCGGTGAACACGGAGCCCCGGAGCTGAGGAAGGGGCTTCGTGAAGCTGCCCCAGCGCCGGACCTGGACGACGCCGACAAGAGCTGCCTTCCGGGATCACTGTGGGGCCTGGGAGGTCCTCACGCGGCAGCTTGGCTGGGAGCCTGGCGCACAGCTCAGATGGAGCGTCATCTCTCGGGAGTCAGGGTGGCGCTCCATCTGGGACAGAGCTGCGCCGCCTCCCACGCCCGGACTGGACCCTGCCTCTCCCTCTCCCCCAGCCAAGCGCCTCTGCCCTCAGGAGCTGAGCCACCAGGGCCTCAGGACTGACCCTGCCCAGTGACAGGGCGCCAGGAATTGAACAGGGAGTGGGAGATCCCCGCGTGCCGAGCCTGCCAGAGCAGCCCCTGCTCCATGCCCTCGGCAGCTGCTCGGGACTCACCGGTGGGAGACGGGGTGGGGGTGCGGGGTGCCCAGCCTACCTGAGGATGACATACATGACGAGACAGTTCCCCAGCAGCCCCCCGATGCACACAGCCAGGTAGAGCCCCACGATGGTGACCTTGAGCCCAAGGGGCAGGAAGGCGCCGTGGCTGGCATTGAGCATCAGGTGCGGGGGCAGCAGGCTGTGGTCGGGGCTCAGGAGAGACAGGTTGCCCCGCAGGGGGCCGCCGCAGACGACTTCCCAGAACGGGGCAGGGAAGAGGGGCTCCATGCCCGCCCTGCGCGCAAAGCCCCGCTGTACCTGCGGAGGCACAGGGACATGTGAGCGCAGCACCCAGCACCCACCCAGCCCCAGGCCACAGACACGGAGGCACGCGCGCGTGCGCACACACACACACACACACACACCGGGCACACGGAGACACGCAAACGTGTATGCCAGGGACAGGGATACACGAACACAGGGGCACACGTGCACACACACAGGGACACAGTCTCAGCTGGCCTGCGGGCTCCCACGTGGGATGCGTGGATGCGCTTACATGGCGGGATGTGTCCACCCATGGGGGCTCACAGACGCACAGCATGCACACACACACACACACACACACACACACACACACACACACACAGATGCCCAAAGCTGCCCTCGTGCACACGCAGACACAAAAGGGACCAAGACACACCCAGAAACACCTGGAACACTGGCCACAGGGCAACGGAGCACAGGGCCTCCTGCTGCCCCTCCCCAGCCCTGCCTGAGAGCTGCGGCCACCACAGGTCACCTCCACGCCAGCCCCCAGCGGCTCAGCCTTACCTCGGTGACCTCCGTGGGAGCTGGGACCCCGGAGGCCCTAACCCTCGGCCTGCGGCAGAGCAGGGCTGGGAGCGCCGGCCCGACTCAGCTCTGGGTCTGGACGGCGCCGCGGCTGCCGCACAGTGGCAGCTGCTCCTTTTCCTTCTCAGACGCCAGACCAGACGCAGCAGCCTGGTGCACGGAGCTGGGGGAGGGGAGCAGGCTGCGGCTCCAGGGGGGCGGGGCAGTGCAGGATGGAGGAGGGGGCCCCAGGCTGGACGGAGACAGATGCAAGGACCAGGGTGCACCCTTAGAGATGAACAACAGAGAGGCCTGGACCCACTGAGCCCAGACGGAGACAGGCTCGAACACATGGACACAGGGATAGAGGTGCACATGAGAACTCAGACACGTGGACGGACACACACACACACACAAGGACGCACAGGGACTCAGGGACAGACGCATGGAGACACAGGGACAAACACACAAGAACAGACACAAAGGACACGCAGAAATACACAAAGACATGGAACGGAGACTCAGAGAGACACACACAAGACAGAGACAGACATGAAGCCGCATCTCACTCAGAAGCAGGGCCTTGCACGGACTCAGACCTGCCCCAGCCGGAGTTCCATGCCCAGAACAGCACCCCTCAGCTGGGATCCCAGGGCAGCTGAGCCACAGGGGGCCACCGGTTGGGTGGCTGGGCCCCTGCCCAGCCAGCCCTGATCAGATCAGAGCCTCATAAACAAGCAGGATGTCTGGACTGCCCAGTGTGCACCATGTGCCTCCTGGGTGCCAAGCCCATCGCAAGCACAAGCTTGTCCATCCCCACCACCCCTAACTGTGGGCCTCAGCATCACCTCTGTGCCAACAAGGGCAGTAAGCCTCAGCACCTCAGCAGTGTGAAGTCACCTGTCAAAGGGGCAGAGACAGGGTTCAAAGGCAAGTCTGTCTGCCACCTGAAGACCCACCAAGGGCACCTCTGCCTCAGCTGGGTCCCTGAACAACATCTGAACATCATTGCCTCACAGCCTGGGCCCCCAGCACCCACACAGCAGAACATGGAGCTGCCTCCTTCCCACCCCTGGGGTCACATGCCTTGTGGGTGACCCCTGAGCTGAATTGCCAGCCCCACCCAGTCAAGGGGTCGTTCTTCCTGCCCGGGCTCTGCCCACACAGCCCAGACCCTGCTTGGAGCATCTGTCTCCAAGGATGGGGACCTGGTTGCTAGGCGACTGGCAGCAGCGTCGCTAGGATACCTGGCGAATCAGGAGAGGACAGAGCAGGCAAATACCCTAGGGCTCAGCATCCCAGGCTGTCCCCCAGGACTTATCTCTGCATCTTCACTGCAGTCGACCCAGGGACACGTGTGGAGACACGGGGCACATCCACAGAGGCACTCAGGACACAAAGACTCACAAAAACACACAAAGATGCCCAGATAGGCACACAGGTAAACAAATAGACATGGGTACATGCTCAGAGGACGCACAGACACTCGAAGGGGCCCACAGACGCATGGGCCACACCCACGCAAACCCACACTAGGGCGCACGTGAGGCACAAGGTACACACGGGAGAAGAGGCAGATCAAAGCCTCAGACGCCCAGGGGACACACGTGCACCACATTCTCCAAGCAAAGCTCGAAGCCCCATCCCATTGACCTTGGGAGCCCCAGCAGGGCAGCAACCCCAGGGGCTCGCCCTCCTGCAGCCTCCCCGACCTGGGCTCCCCGAGGTCTGAGCAGCCAACCTCAGCCCCTCCCAACCCCACTTCCTGGGCCCACCTGCCCGCCAGTTTACGAAGCTGCGTTTCCTAATGGCCTTCAGCCTGGGGAAAGGGCGGGGCTAGGAGGCTGCCTTGAGGCTGGGTGTGAGCTCCAGTCTGGACAGACCTCCCACGAGGGCACATCGGGCACGCCTGGGCCCACTGCCCGCACGGGCAGTCTCAGCCCAAGGACAGGACGGTGGGGGGCCAGGCCAGGGTACTGACGACACTCCCTGGGGATGGTAGCCCCCAGCCCTGGACCTTGCAGGGTTCCCACAAAGGGGGCCTGGCCCAGGAAATGGCCCAGCCTCTCTTGAGCCCTGTACGGCCAGGATGAGAAACAGAACATATGTGTTACACATGGGGCAGCAGGGAACACGTGTGAGCATCTGTATCAAAGCAAGACAACCTCGAACACACACATCATATGCAGGCAAAACAAAACATGCAAGGGTACCAGCGACAGCCCAAGACACGCAGCTTACGTGAATGAGAGCACAGAACACGGGTCCGCTACATATCAAGTGACAGCCTGACCAGGGCTACACTTGGAGGTCACAGGCATTCTGGGCAGGACCCAGGTCCCAGAGTGCCGGTGACACCCACAAACTGGGGTGAACGCACCTCACTCTTGCACCCAGTGACTCAGGGCCCGTCAACGCCAGATGGCACACTGTCTGCTGCCCCTCGGTCCGCGTATGCTTTGCCACCCCCCGGAGTCGCCAGCAGCCTCACCCAGAACAGCCATCCCCAGGGAATTCAGTCACATTTCAACATTCAGTTGTGCTGTTGAAAAGTAAAAGGAATGGGGCTTCCCTGGTGGCGCAGTGGTTAAGAATCCACCTGCCAGTGCAGGGGACACGGGTTCAAGCCCTGGTCCGGGAAGACCCCACATGCCGCAGAGCAACTAAGCCCGTGCGCCACAACTGCTGAGCCTGCATGCCTAGAGCCTGTGCTCCGCAACAAGAGGAGCGACCGCAATGAGAAGCCCGCGCACCTCAACGAAGAGCGGCCCCCGCTCGCTCACCTCAACTAGAGAAAAGCCCACGCGCAAAAAAAAGTAAAAGGATTTTCATAATTCTGGGCTTCTTCATAAAATATTACTTTTTCCTTGTGATTTTAACCTCCTAATATTTACATACAATGACAGAGAATTGTAGATTTGCAGTATAATGTGAAATTTTGCAGTCATTTAATAATTCTTATTATTTTGAAGTTTTCTTTTCAGGCCTTGGCGTCGATCAGCACGCTCCTAGATCTCAGCATTTCCATCAGCCCTTGAAAAACACATGAATCCTGGACACAGAAACAGGCGGGAGACATGGCCCAGGGCCTCACAGTGGCTGGGCCCCAGACACAGGGAGCACCTCCCCTGCCAGGGGAGCTGTAGGGGGGTAGAGAAGCCGGAAGGAGCTCCGCTCAGGAATGTGAACTATGCCAACACCAGGCCCTCTGGGAATTAAGGAGGAGCGGGTGTCAAAGGTTTTCAATCCCACAAAAACAGAGGGAAAGTGACAAGTCCCTTCTTGCAGGGGAGTGCGCCCATTCTCCCCCTCCCCCCATAACTCCCACTCTTGCAAGTCACTTCCCCCCTGCGTCTCCCTGGCCAGGACCCTGGGAAGCTAAGAGGAGGGCCCAGACTCCTGTCTCAGGGAACTCACTCCTGTGGGAGCGCAGAGTGAGGGCCAGAGGTGGTGCCGGCCTAGGCTGCGTGTACCCAGGAGGACGGCTTGAAGGAGGTAGGTCAGCCTGCCTAAGCCCTCACTGCTTCTGGAGCCCAGAGACCTTTGCCTTCAAAAGCCCCTCGGTGATGCTGAATCCCAAGGCCCAGGCCTCACCCTAAAGGCACAAGCCCTGCGGCAGAGGGGGGGCGGGAAGGGGAAGCGTCCAGGGAACAGCTCCTGCAAAGGCTTGGGGGCTGGAAGGATGCACAGTTCCATGCAGCTTTGGGAAGCAGGCGATGGCATGCCAGCTCCCGAGATATGGGGCCACAAAAGCGAGGGGATATGTGTATGCATATGGCTGATTCACTTTGTTGTACAACAGAAACTAACACAGCATTGTGAAGCAATTATACTCCCATAAAGATGTATTAAAAAAAAAAAAAAAAAACCTTACCCTCTCACTGGGAGGCCAGAGCAAGCTTCCAAAAACAATGGGAACAGTAGTCAACAGCCTCCTTCGGAAAGGCCAGAACCTCAGCTGAGACACCACCCCCAAAGCCAGGACAGTCTCTCCCCTCAGGGACTCAGGTTGTGAACTCCCAAAATGGCACCACCCGTGGGCCTCAGTGCCCACCTTGGCACATCCATGAATGAAGGGAAGAGGCATGTTTACACTGTGGGAACCACCAATACATTAACAAATTACGGACTTAATGCACTAATTTTGGCCTAACATCAACTGTGGAATGAGTACCTGGATCACTGAATCCAGCACAATCTGATGAGCGCACGAACAAATTAGAGAATTGATCAATTAAGTGCATCAGTTATAAAATATGATGAAATTCACAAATGCACAAATAAATTACAGAAATCTAGAACCCAGGACCCAGAAATCAAAACCCGAGTCTGGGGACTTCCCTGGTGGTTCGGTGGTAAAGAATCCGCCTTCCAATGCAGGGGACGCGGTTTGCTCCCTGGTCGGGGAACTTAGATCCCACATGCCGCGGGGCAACTAAGCCCACGCACCACAACTAATGAGCTCACGTGCCTCAAGGAGAGAGAGAAAACGCGCACACCACCACTAGAGAGAAGCCCACGTGCCGCAACGAAGAGCCCACGCGCTGCAACTAAGACCCAACACAGCCCCCCCCCCCCAAAAAAAAGAAGGGCCTTCCCTGGTGGCGGAGTGGTTAAGAATCCACCTGCCAATGCAGGGGACACGGGTTCAAGCCCTGGTCCAGGAAGATCCCACATGCCGCAGAGCAACTAAGCCCATGCACCACAACTACTGAGCCTGCACTCTAGAGCCCTCGAGCCGCAACTACTGAGCCCCCGTGCCACAACTACTGAAGCCTGCGCACCTAGAGACCATGCTCCGCAACAAGAGAAGCCACCACGATGAGAAGCCCGCGCACCGCAACGAAGAGTAGCCCCCAGCTCTCCACAACTAGAGAAAGCCTGTGCACAGCAACAAAGACCCAATGCAGCCAAAAATAAATAAATGAATAAATTTATTTGAAAAAGAGAAAACAAAACCAATGGTCTAAACAAAAAAACACCACCCCTGTTCTTACACCACCCCTGGGACCCCCAGACTTGCCCTGGAAGAGGTGAAGGGTCCTGAGTTCTGCTGTGGGAGGCCTCGTGGGCCATGAAAAGGGGGAAGGGGCTCAACCACGAAGGTCTCCTCAGATCAGCGCCCCCTGACCCCAAAACTAGCCAGCAAAGACCTCTCCAGCCAGGAAGCTGGGCCCACAGCCCACAGAAGAGTGCGTTTGGGGCTCTTCAGAAAAGAAAGAGAGCGCACCCGGGCTGTTAAAGCTGAGGGTCATCTCCCTCATGGTCCTTGACAGCCGGGAGGTCCCGGGGCGGGGCATCTGGCCGGGGACCTCGGCGCACTTGGACCGAGGTTCTGACCACGCGCTTCCCCGAGGGCTCGCCCCGCCCCCGTTGGCTTGGGGGAGGGGCGGGCCTCCTGGTTGCCGAGCAACCGCGTCAACAAGTCCCAGAGAGTCTGGGCTGAGTTGGAGGCCCAGACCGGAGAAGGCGGAAAGTATGGGGTGTGGAAATGGGAGGCAAGGGCCGGGCACTCGACCGCCGCCGCTAGCGACGGGGCGGGGGAGGGTGCGGACGCCAGCCTGTCCCAGTGTGGGCCCGGCCCAGGATCTGGGGTCCGGGGTCTGGGGTGCTGTGGGCTGGGCCGGGCGAGGAAAGGAGCCCTGCAAGGCTGCACCGGGACTTCCGGGGTGTTTCCCTCTCCCACCTCGGGGGCCCTTCCCCGTCTACCACATTTTCCCTGGGCTCCTCTCTCCCTTACTCCATCTAGACCCAGCGTGGGACAGGCTGGGGGGATGGCGTCTCCCCTGCAGCAAGCCAGCTGTCCATTCGACTCTGAGACTCCGCCGCACACAAGTGAGACCTCCCACAGACACACAAACGGACCCACACAACATCAAACACACACACATCTCCCAGAAAAGCATGAGTCCTCTGCCCAAGATATAATGAAGGCCCACCCCCTCCATCTCCAGCCCCTAACACTAAGACAGAGGGGTCTGAGGCCTACGCAGACGTGGGGGACTGAACACAGCGAGGGTCCTGGCATGGGAGGAAGTGTCCTCCTAGCCTCCTTTAGTCTCAATCTGTCTCCACCCCTGGGTAGTGCCTGAGGTCAACTCAGGGGTCTCAGCATTTTCCCAGTGGCGGGAGAAACAGCCCGTGGGCAGGAAGGGAGTGGATCAGAAAGTTCTAGCGGAATGCAGGAGTGAGTAAGGAGGCTGAGCTGACCGGGACGTGTGCGAGGTTGTGGCAAAGGTGCAGAGGTCAGAGGTGCGGGCCCTAAGGCGGGCTGCGCGGGGTCCAGAGGGGCCGGAGCTGGGAACCCACGGCGGGGCCGGGTCAGACCGAAGGAGCGGGCGCCAACGGGACATCGTCTTCCCTCGTCAGGGCCTGAGGATGCAGCCAGAGCTGGCGAAGGGGACCGCGCGCAGGGTCCCGCGGGAGCGAGCAGGTAAGGGCGCGCAGGGCGCCGGGGCCCGCGTGGGGTGTGCCAAGGCGGAGCCCCCGACGCCGGGCTGGGCCCTCACGCTGGAGGGCCTGGAGGCCATGCGGCCCGCGCAGCGCCACAGCCACCTGCTCTTCGGCGACCTGCTGGAGGACGTGGGCGCGTCCGCTTCCGTCTTCCCGAGTGAGTCAGCAGAGCTGGGGTACCGCATGCCTGACCCGCGCGCGTGGACGCTGCAGCTCGAGACGCCCGCGCAGCGCCAGGACCGGGTCCTCGGCGTCCTCAAGGCCGCCGAGGCCCGCGGCCGCGTCCGCG